ATTGTAACATATAATCAAATAACACCCTAATCACAACACAACTTGAAGCAGCATTGTAGAGAGTGATACACTATAATTACACAAATATTAATATATTTATTATTATATACACTAATCTTGAAATTAATACTATTGCTAATTACCTTAGTGGTATGGAATAATCATTCGTCTTAGCTTTAATGCAATTTGCAATATTGCTTCCAGTATGAGGATAAGGAATCAATTTAAATGATAATAAAACTGAAATAAGTCTCTAGTCTTTATCAAGAAAATAGGCAGTAATTGCCATATATCCAAGTTGTTGAAGCAACATCCACATATTGCAAGTAAGTGAGATTCTTTCTTCAGCATTTTGAATAATTGTTTTAATTATGGTTTTTCTTTTGTTGTAAGCCTTCATTATATCTTGCTTTATTGTATCGGTATTAATTGTAAAATCAGGTAATATTCTATAAACAAATTTACAGAAACCTTGCTTCTCAACAAACTGAAAACTCAGTTCATCTATAATTATCACATATGCTAGGTTTTTTCAGTTTAAGTCTCCAAAAGATAGTGGTAGAATTTGACTATTTGAGTTTGCTCTTCTAGAATGAAACTTTTGATATCTTAAACAAAAATTAAGATGGCATCGGAGGTGGGATGTTCTATTTCCTTTTTTATTACTTAATAGCTTTTTGCAATAATTACATCTAATTTTTAGTTCATCTTCTAATATGGTAAAGCTTTCCCATACAATAGATTTATATCTTGATGTTGTTTCATTATTGATTTTATTAGTAGCGATAGTGGTAGCAATTAATTTAGTGATTGGAGATCCTGAAACTAACACAGAGTTATTTGGAGTAATTATTCTATCAATGTCTTGGTTGTTAACTTCATCCATATTAAAAATTGATTAGCTTTATTATTTAGCAGTATTACAAGGTATTGAATTGTTCTTTATAAGAAAATTAGAATTTTATTAGCTATGCATTCTCTTTTTCTTATTTATACTAAATATTTACTACTTAATACACTTATGTATG